TGGGTTTCCGAGGCAGTATCACTACGGATGTAGGATTGCCCAACCTTCCTTCCGAGGAGTGGCTGGTGGGTTTGAACTGCCAGCCTTCTGGTTAGCAGGCAAGTGCCTTAGACACTAAACTCTGGTAAGAGCTTATTCCATAAAGGTTACAGCCTGGGAAATCCTATGGAGGCAGTTCTACTCTGTCCTATAGGGTCGCTATGAATTGAAATTGACTTGACAGCAATGCCTTTTTGGGGGTGGGGGTGGAGATGGGGATACATGTTCTATATATGCAATATAATTACCCATACCACTATGAGTAGCATAGGATTGCAGTATTCAGTAATCTTAAATACTAGCTATTTTGACAGCTTGTTTTTACATATAAGGAGACTAGGCTGAGAGAAGTTATCCAATAAGCAGTTTTCCCAGGACTAGAACCCAAGTCTCTAGAACTCTCAGTCCAGTCTTCCTTCTATTAATACTGTTTTATGTTGCTTCCCTTTTTCTCACATAATTTCACATATGTGGCATGAAAGAGTAGTTTTAATTCCAAAAATATTCATGATTTACTTTGAATTTTTCAACTGTTTTTATTTGTTCTAAACTCTTAATTTGAAGCTGGGTAATGATTTCTATCAAAAGTTTGGGAAAAAGACATTCTCAGCAGTTTTTTCCTTATAGTTTCTCTTGTCAGTCATAGATATATTTAGTCAAGTGAGATATAGTAACAGATGATATTAAAAAAAAGTAAGTGCACAAAACCCTTCTCTCCTAATCCTAACTTTCCACACTAAAGCAAGTCAACATGCAAAAATGATAATGATTACCTTTCACTGTCAACTACTATACAAGGCAGCGCTGGGTGTGTTTATTTTAAATCCACCCAAACTGGTACTCAAGCTTTAGTCTCGGTTCTGGATCCTTCTTCAAATGAATTCACACAGGTTTTCCTCTTTAGAAAGGATTTGTTGGTGTCAAAAAAGGCAGTTGAGCTAAATGACTGCTCATTGCTAGAGAGCTATATTTGAACTCCACAAATTCCTTTGCAATTTGGATGTCCAGAGATAGATTATAGGTTTATTTCAGTAGAATACTAAACAGGGCCCCAAAATAACCAGTTATCTTGAGAGTGTGATTACAGCAACATATTTTTGTGTCACAACAGATGGTTATGCTGTAAGAAATGACTAAAACCTATTAAAGACTCCTAGCTCCCTCCATTAAAATGAAGACTTATAAAAAAAAGTCCTTGTACCCAATCCTCTGCCACCATTTGTCCAATTATTTTATCATTCAGCAAGTGGCAGTAAGAGCATGCCTTGTGTCTACCATGCTTTTGATTAATCATCAAAGATAGCAGGCCTAAATTAATGTTTACCGTAATTATTGTTAGAAGATCTAAATATGCAGAATTTCTCTCTTTTTTCTTTTAAGTTATAAAGTAGCTCAAGAATAAATGGAAAGCCATCAGTTAATATCAGCAGCAATGACAAGTAGCCCACTCCATGAAAACTGTAGTGGCCACAAATCAAAGGCCTAATCAAATCAGAGAGGGTGTCTATACTGATTTATAGGAACATTTGTTTAACTTCAGGCAATCCAGTTGTGCTGGTGTATAGGACATGCTATTCCCATGATCCTTTGCACATCACAGTCTCTACCCTATTTCATGAATAAAGCATTTAAGAAATTTAATCAGAAAGGATTTCCCACACTGCTCACTGTCACTCACATATCCTTCACCAAAAACAATTTGGCCACAGTTGTAGTTATGATATTGTAATAACTATCATAAAGCCTATCACTTTAAGTCAGTCAAGTCAGGATCTATTTGCAAAACATAATCAAATGTAATTTCATGATTCAATAAATAGTATATAAATCTACTATTATTGCTTTTCATTTTCTTTTCAATACTACCTATTTCCATTTTCTCTCTGGTAGTTATTCTGACTATTCAAATGTCATTATTGCCCTCCATTGTTATTCAAATGGAACTTTTTATTAGATTCTCTGACACTATATATAAGACTTCAGTTCTTTGATAGCAATAATTTCATTTCTGAAGGAAAATGGAAGCTACTGCACACAAACTTCTGAGCTGTTACTTTATGTTATGTTAAGCACATGCCTAAAATGGGATTTTAATTTAATCATATCTGAGAAGACCAAAAGGTTTTTATTAGCTACCTCAAGAAAGCAGTTTTAAAGACTTTTCCATGCTGGATTTTTGGTTCAAAGATCCAGTGAATCTGTTTATCCTCCCCAATGATGTGTATAAGATACATTTACTGACAAAATTGAATTCTAAATTTCTTTCATCAGCCAGTATTCATTACTTTTGAGTATATTTTTTTTTTCTTGGAAGATGGAGAAAACAAAATATCTTCTGCAAATAGTTGGAAAGAAAAATCACTATTCAGTTAAATAATTTTAAATATTTACTTTCTAGGATATCTATGGAAAATATATTTTAAAAGTCACACAATCAAAAATACATTATTGTTTATTTTATTAATATAGTATACTGGTTCATAAAATAAAACTATATCAACACCAGGTTATAGCTCCCCAAAACAACTCTATTGAATACTGCATGAAGTTATATAAAATTAACTGATGAGTCTATTAGTGGCAGCTTTATAAAATTGAACATGTTTGTGGTATCCTACTAGGAGTTTTTCTATGCATATAAAAATAAATCAGAAAACTGTGTGCCATTTGGAAAAATAATATAATAGCATAAAATTTTAAAATATCTGACACTTTTCAAGAACTAGAATTCTCCAGTGATGATAAATTTTAAGGTTATTAGAATCTGTCACAATGGTACATGAAGAAGGGCAACATGCCTGGGCACAGAGCACAATGGTGAAGCTTTAGATGAAGTTTAGCAAGAGAGATGGAAAGCAAGTACAGAGAAAACAGAGTCCTCAATGCTGTCATGAGATACAAAAGAAATGAAATATATTAGGGGCTTACCAACCTGTGGGGAGATAAATCTAGTTATATAAAATATTCTGGTACAATGTTAAGGTATCAAATAATTAAGCATTTAAAAAAAAAAAGAAAAAGAAAACTCACTGTTGTTGAGTAGATTAGACTCATAGCGACCCCTCCTTGTGTTTCTGAGGCAGTATCCCTACAGAAGTAGGTTGCCCAATCTTCCTTCCCAGGAGTGGCTGGTGGGTTTGAACTGCCAGCCTTCTGGTTAGCAGTCAAATGCCTTAGGCACTATCCATGAGGGCTCCCAATTAAGCATTAGCATATTTATTTTGTATTAACAAGAGGTATAGGAATTTAGAAAAAAAGTTTAAATTCCATAGTAGCACCTATGAACAGCTTGACCATGTGCACCCTGAAAATCTAGATGACATCACAATGACCTGTTCCAAGAAGCCCCAGGGAATCAATGAGTGACTTGGAAATGTAACTTTTATTATATTCACTTCTTTTTCTAATTTACCTGGCCAAATATACTCACACACCTTTTTTTTTTTTTTTTTTACCTAGAATCAGAACTTAGCTTTTTATAGAATAAAAACAAATCATTGGAAATCTATACACACCATTCTTAAATTATTCTCCCCTAGTATTAAAAGAAGGAGCTCTGGTAGCATGATGCCTAAGGCACTTGACTGCTAATCAGAAGAAGGCTGGCAATTCAAATCTACCAGCCACTCCTCGGAAGGAAGATGGGGCAGTCTACTTCTGTAGTGATACTGCCTCGGAAACCCAAGGAGGGGTCGCTATGAGCCGGGGCCAACTCAACGGCACATAACAACAACAACAACAACTGTATTAAAAGAGGAGCTCTGGTGGCATAGTGCTGAAGGATTATGACTGCTAACCAGAAGGCTGGCAGTTCAAATCCACCAGCCATTCCTCGGAAGGAAGATGGGGCAGTCTACTTCCGTAGTGATACTGCCTCGAAAACCTAAGGAGGGGTCGCTATGAGTCGGGGCCAACTCGACGGCACATAACAACAACAACAACTGTATTAAAAGAGGAGCTCTGGTGGCATAGTGCCGAAGGATTGTGACTGCTAACCAGAAGGCTGGCGGTTCAAATCCACCAGCCACTCCTTGGAAGAAAGATTGGGCAATCTACTTCCATAGTGATACCGCCTTGGAAACTCAAGGAGAGGTTGCTATGAGTCACATCTGACTCCACAGCAGTGAGTTTGGTTTGGTGTAGTATTAAAAGAGGAATTCCTGCGTGATGCAAATGGTTACCACACCTGTCTGATAACTGAAAAGTTAGAAGTTTGAGTTTATCTACAGATGCTTTGGAATAATGGCCTGGTGATCTATTTCTAAAAAAATTAGCCATGGAAAACCTTATGGAGCACAGTTCCACTCTAACATGCATGGGGGTGCCATGAGTTGGGGACGGGATGAGGGCAACTGTCAATTTTTTTTTTAATATCAAAATAATCAGAAAGTTTAAGAAAATGTATTCTACATTTTAATTAGAAGAAAAATCAAATAACATTAGACAGCAAGGGTCAGAGTATTTGGGTTCTAGTTTCCACAGCATTACAAGCTTGCCACATGACCTTGGGCAAATTAATTTCTTGACCTCTATAAGAGTCACAGATTCTCTATCAATCCAGTTCTGAGCATGCTTTTGACTCAAGGACAAATTTTAGCACTGTTGCTTTACTTTGATGAAAGGAATGGTATTCTCCAGTTAGTCTCTGATAATTTCTGCATCCAAAAATGCCTCTTATACCAAATGGTAGGAGCTCTGGTGGTGTAGTGCCTAAGGCACTTGACTGCTACCAGAAGGCTGGTGGTTCAAACCCACCTGCCACTCCTCAAAAGGAAGTTTGGGCAATCTACTTCTGTAGTGATACCACCTCAGAAACCCAAGGAAGGGTCACTATGAGTCAGGTCTGACTCGATGGCACGTAACAACAACAACAACATACCAAGTGGTAGAAGAACCCTTTTACAACTATCTGCCTCTATGACCAAGATAAAAGTTGAGATAAGGATATAAATTCAACTTACCTCCAGAGGCTCCTATGCTGCTTTTCAAGTTGAGTTAGAAGATGCTCTAAGTATTTATTGGAATCCATGTATTCCTGCATGCACAAAGACAAATAAACTCTTATTACAACAGTCACCAGGATGCTAAGAGTCTATCCTTAACCCTAGAAGGAATTTTTCCCCCTAAACTTATTTATTTATTTATAGAAGGAATGTTTTTGATAAAATAATCCTTTGAGTCCCTTCCAGTTTTGGGACCCTTTGCTTCTATGACTGACATGCTTATTCATTTGGATGAATAATATTTTCCCCACATCCTGTGATCATTCTGTAAACAAAACACTGAAGAGATCTGGAATTCTATAGATTCAGCACAAAAATCTTCAAAAAATCCACACATACACACACAAAAACCTTAATGTCATAGTCATCTACACTGAGATCCATGTTCTACTGTGTAAAACTAAGGAAGAAACGAAATAACTAGTGAGAAATTTCGAAACGTAGACCATTCTATAGAATTTTTCCACTGGGAGCCATTTTTCCCCATCCATTTGGAGATTTCAACTCAAAAAAGTTTTCAACTCAGAAAAAGGAGTTGGCAATGGGCTGGTAGTTGTGTTCAGTGCAAATACAGTTACAACAAGGACAATGCTATAGGCTCAGTGGCTACAAGAATTATTGGTAGCAATGCACTCTGGATGTTGCTATTGTACAGAAATTACATTGTTTCAAAATGTCTAATACACAGGTAGAAACAAATGGTATTGCAAGATTTAACCAGAGCATAGCAAAGCTCCCTAAGTTGCTGGAAAGATACTTTTATGGTAGGAGAGTGTAGAGAAAAAAATTCTACAAATACCAAATAGAAAGTGAAATCCACATTCTCTGTTGGCAATCCTAGGACAGACAGAATGAGCCATAGAAAATAATATAATATGAAACCCATAAAAAAAAGTATACTGTAGAAGAGAAACATCACTACAATCTCAAAAAAGGATATTTTACAAGGAAAATATGAAAGAATTGTATAAAGAGCCTCGGGATGTTAGAGTCCCTATATAGACCAAATAATAGAGCACTTGGTTGCTAACAGAATCATTGGAGATTGACTCCAACCAGAGGTACCTGGGAAGAAAGGTCTGCCAATCTATTTTTAAAAAATCAGCCATTGAAAACCCTATGGTGCATAGTTCTACTCTAAAGCAAGGGGTGGCCATGAGTTGGAATTGACTTGATTGCAACTGCTGTTTATTTTGGCATGCTTAGTAGTATCCAGGAAGACATAATCTCTCTGAAACATGTGCAGAAAAGATTTTTAAAGAAAGATGCTGATAAGCAAACACAGAAAATATTAGATGTAAAAAGATAACTGGATAAGTTGCAAGGACAATAAAATGAAATAAAAGAGATCTGGTTGATATAAGCATTTTAAGAAAACCTAAATTGCAATAGCAGAATCAAAACCTGTTGGTCCCATCACCTGTTGGTGATGTCTATTAAAGGGTAGCTCTCTCCACCATGAAATGATGTTTCAGAGAATGAGTAATGGAAACTATAATTGCTAGACAAATCTCAAGCAATGGATGTTGATGTACTGACATAGAACTGATGAAAGTCTACCTCTCAGTATCTCATCTGGAAATAATTCAAATTTCCCAAGCTAGGTCAGGTACTTAAATATTTACTAACTCTTACCCTTTTCTGTGGTATACAAAGACAAAGCCTGCTATAACCTAGAAAAAAAAAAACCCAGCAACATTCACATTTTTCTTTGTGTCAATAATCACTGTTTATAACATATTATGTATGAAAATGATCAGTTTTCTAGGCCTTGCTTTTCTCAGTTTGTATTTCCTATCTTACTTAGCACAAAGACTTCATTGAAAATAAAGTTATTAACTTGAACATCCTATTCTTGTGACTGTTCTTATAATCATAAAACACATACCAGATTTATTGGAAGAATTGACAGTGAAACACACATACCCACAGACCCAAGGAGGACAAACTTAATGATCTAACTACAATAAAAAAAAAAAGGAAAAAAAAAAAAATGAATAGAGAGATGACAGACTTAAAAGATCAGAAAATAGAAATTTGCCCAGAAATTATAGTTTAAGTATTTGAAAAGAACTGGAACATAAATAATAATCAACAGGATAATTAAAGAAGTTTCAGAATAGAATAGTTAAAGAAATAAAATAAAAGGACTCATGCACATCTACAGCACTCATCACATTCCAGGTCGAGTAAATAGAAAACCATCCACAAATCCACTGTTGTTGTTATGTGCCCTCAAGTCAGACCTGACTCACGTGACCCCTCCCCTGAGGCAGTATCACTATGGAAGTAGATTACCCAATCTTCCTTCCAAACAAATCCACTAGCATAAGAATAAAAATAGTGAAGAAAAAGACTGCCATCATCCGAACAGACAAACATATTTCCTACAAAGGAGGAATTAAAAAAAAAAAAAAGCTAGCTCCATGGCTTTTAGCCAAGGCAAATGCCCATTGAAATTAAATCTGTACACAAACTTTTGAGTCTTAACCCAGAAATAGTATTCTCAATGGAGCTGTATAACAAAGCAACAGAAAGACCTTCTCAGGTATTCATGGATTCAGAAAATATAGCACCTACTTCTTTCATAAGAAATTTACTTATAGATATATACACATAGCACATATGTACACATATATACATATATACACATATATAAAACTTACTTAAGGATACATATCTCATTCTCACTGCCATTGAGTCGATTCCAATGCATAGAGAACCTCCATTGAATTTCTAAGGCTGTAAATCTTTCTTCTGTGGAGTGGCTGGTGGATTCAAACCACCGACCTTTTGGTTAGCAGTCAAAAACCTTAACCACTACACCACCAGAGCTCCTTTTATATATATATACACACACACACACACACACACACACACACACACACACACACATATATATACATATACATCATATACATATACATCATATACATATACATATATATAATGCCTGGGAGATGATTAAATATACCAGGTATTTATATGTGTATATGTATGCATGTATACACACACGCACACACTATGCCTGAGAAATGAAAAAACAATGTAGAATTCACAATATAAAATGAAGGGTCAAAAGAAGTTAAACCAGCCAAACAGATATTTTTAATATCTAAAATAATATAATTATAAAATTAAATAAACATAAAAATCACAGAAAGAAGATGTAGAATGCATAGTATGTATCTCTGTGGTGAACAGAGGGAAGAAAGAGGGAAAAAGTAAGAGAGGAATAGAAGGGTACAAAAATCTCTTTCTGCAGCTGGGAACAAATGTTACTGTTTCATTTTTTACCTGACAATCAGAAAAACCTGCAATTAAGTAATGTATGTCATGAAATTTAAAATATCCATGTGTCTTTGATCCTGAAATTCCATGTTTAGGAATCATCTTGTGGAAATAATCAAATTGTCCATTTAGCAGACATTTAATGATGCCTATTAAAACATAATTTATAGTAATATGAAAAAACAGGTGCAGTGGAGTGAATTATTATATGGCCTTTCCAGCCATACCTTTGTTACTCTCACAAAGTGACTGGGCAGGATTATGCAAATGTAAGATGCTTGTGGCCTACCAACGGGATTGGATAGCTTGCAAATAATGTGAATAAGGTGTATCATATACTTGTGGGAGTGGAACTGTGCAAGTAAGGTGTCTGGAACGTCAATGTAAAGATCAGTCAGTTTTGCCATCTCTCTAGGCTTAAAATGAGCCATCCTAGAGACAGAAAGAGGGGATCTCACTACAATCAAGAAAGAAGAGACAGGAGTGGAACATCTTTAAACCCAAGATTCCTGTGCTGAAACTCCTCAATCCAGGAGACAGAGAGCTTTGATACCAGACATATGGAAAACAGTGAGAATTAACTGCAGGGCAGCAGAGGCACCAGAACCAAAAGGCCAGCGTGAGACAGAGTGGTGGGCTTCCTGGCCATGGAGCAAGATAATTGAGTGCCTTCAGGCAGGAGGCTTACTGGAGGAGGGAGGTACCTCTCTGGGCACCTATCAGCAGAGCTAAAATAGCTTTGTAACACTTGCCCAAACAGGGTAGAGGCCAAAAGGACACAGGGCCTAGATGCCAAGGGCCAAACAGAAATGGCTGTCTTGACTGGAAACTGTATTCTGAGTTGTTTCTGATCCTGAATTGTAACCTATTACTTCCCTTATAAACCCCATAATTTTGAGTATTGTGTGTGAGCACTTTGTGACCATTGCAAAGAATATCAAACACATCAGAGAAGTAGAGAGGGCCATGGAAGGGATAGCTAATGTCAGAATTGGTAAAAAAAAAACGTCAGAGAGTGAAGGCATGTCTGACCTCTGTATCACAGGAATCAGCCTTGGGCTGTTGATGTTGATCTTGATCCTCCTTCCCCCTTGTAAAGTTAGAGGAGGTCAGATGCCACCCAACACCACTTTTTACAACAGGTATATCTTAATTTCCAAAATTAGAAGTAAGATTAAAATAAAGAATGCTATATCTGTATGAAGAAATATACAATTCCTAAAAAAAGAAGTAAAGAACATGTAATAGAATGGAAAGCTCTCAGAGTATAGTAAGTAAAATAAGTGAAAAACTGCATTGTCTCTTTTAACATTATTTAGAAAATATATTTAAAATATTAAAAGAAAATAAAGCTAATACATAATGTTATTATGGGTTATTTTAATTTTCTTCTCTATACATTTCTATCATTTTTAAATACTTTATGCTCACTATACAAATTTAAAGAGTAATAATTATTTAGAAAAATATAGCCACAGAAAATAATGTTCAGAAAGATTTTATTATAATTAAATCTGAGAAAACTAGATCTAAAATCACCTCGATATTATTTTCTTTGTGTTATTCTCAAGGTAAGCTGGGTTTTTGAAACAATGAACTCCTTTTCTACTTGCCCTTGTCAGTGCATGTGCTGACACACCAAATGACTGAAAAAAACATCAACCAAAGTTAGGACTGTGAGGAACACCAAGTTACAGAGGACATATTTGTATAATATGTCTTAAAAATCTTACAA